CTGTACTGACCTTTTAAGTTGCATTAAGAACTTACATTTTTCTCCCTATAAAATTTACAAATGTTTATCTATACCTCCAAATTTACTCAGCATGTAACATTCAAACTTCGTAACATCCCTTCTTAATCTGCAAGACATGACATATGCTATCATCAAACATGCCCACAAGCAACCTCATATCCAGCCTAGAACTTGCATCTTTGAATTACTAAATGATGATCATATTTTACCTTGTTCTCTAAATAGTATTGATATTTGTATTATCACATTATTCATGTTAATCAAAGAGGCTTGTACATCCGAACATCTTTAACACAATAAAAAAAATACATTTATGACTTTGCTTTTCTCTGAAACATTTAAAATTTTATTCTTTCTTTTCTTATCTTTCTGACAGTAATTGTCAGTGATTTTGCTTTCATTTTCCCCCAGATTCTGGAATTTCTAGATACTCAGGAAATAAACTCTATTACATTCCATCATACATTCTCATTGCACATTACCTACAAATAACCAGATTTTAAATTATTTGGCATTGCTCCTGATGTCAAAAGGACTTTATTCATGGATAAAGATCACAGTGCTACTTCCAAACAGTTGTGTTTTATATCATTGAATATATTTGAAATTCTCCTCTTTGTTTTCAGGTATCTTCAAGGATACCTGAAAGGAAAGCAATCAAGTATGCCTTTGCCTCCCATGCCTGATTTGTAAAATTACAATTATGTGATATGACTAATTTAACACAGATCAGTTTTGAAGACTGTAATTCATCTAATTCCAACCATTTTATCATTATCAGCAAAACAAATCTCTATTTTCCCCAAATTTCTTTAATTTGGTCTTAACCAGATTTTGTAAAGCAGCTTTACAATCTGATATCATTTTCCAATCCTGCTTAATAACAATGTTTGGTAAGAGTTAATCATGCAATTCTTAAAAGGTTGAAAGGTGGAAATGAATGGCAGGAATAACAAGTGGGACTGCAGGAAGGGAAGGTGTTATCTTGGACTAGCCACATCTCTGAAAACTGATTAAAAAAACATACTGCTGCATCTATTCATACATTTGGGTAATAAACAAATGGGGAAAAACATATCCACAGTGAGCTCCAGATTTTTGGCAGGTGGGAGAGGGAAACATACAAATATCAAGTGATGTAAATGTGCAAATTTCCCAATTTTGCATGCTGCTCCTTCAGTATTTTTTTTTTTTTAATAATGTCTGAAAGCTCCCCATGTCAGTGGTGTGCTTTAATGGGAAACCTCAAGGGCTACATAAATACTTCGTGTTTCCTTAGAATTAAATGTCACTTTTTTCCAAACGAAAGCCATTTCACATTACAGTATCTTCATGAAGTAGAAGTGGCAAAATTAATTTTGCTAAAGTTGTTTCATTTTTCATGGTAACTCCTACTTTTAGTTTTATACAATGCAGAAAAGGGTGAGTTTACAGGAACACTAAAGGTATGTGCAGAATACTTATTTATATTTTTTGCATTCCAAACACACAGTGACTAAGTTTACACATCAGATTTGTTTAACCATACTTTTTAAAGCAAGCCAAAATTCAGTGGGTTCACACAACATATTAAATCATAAACCAGGAGTGGGCAAACTGTGGTCTAGGGCTTCCTGCAACCCATTACTCCACTTGTGCCCCCTCAACATCCCAAGAACTGAATTTCCATGGTAAAATGGCCACATTTTGATAGCACCCTTTCTGCTTTTTTCAAAATTAAGAATAAAAATGAGTTAGAAGGCCATTTCCATCCATAAACACCTGAGCCTCCAGAATCCAAATGGCTGAAAATCACCCTTTTTGGCTGTATACAGACTGGAAATTTGGTGCCATTTTTGGGGTCTGGAAAGCATTTTAAGAATGGGAATGGAAGCATTTTCCCCTAGAGGCCTCCTGCTCTCATTCCTGTCCTTAATTCCCACCCACCCCCACAATGATACTACAGCATCACCAGACAGCCTCTGGAAGATCAAGAAGCCATGTTGCAGGGCTCTCCCCCCACCCCCCAGTCAAATTTTTCCCATCCCATGGTGATTGAGTTCATAGACCACACTAAGCTAAAACCAAGCACATTATGGATTAACTTGTTTTATGTTCCAGACCACCACAGTTTACCCAGTTTACCAATTTACCCAGTTTAAGATTTGCCAAATAAATTACACTTTGTTATACTCACATTGCATCAGTTCAGACTGTGGAACATTAACTGCAAACATGTGTTCAATTAAATAGCTAAGCTAAAGTGAAACACACCTTCACTTGTTTGTTTCACCATACTGAGCCAAATGCTTATAATCAGAATATTTTGAATCTCTACCACCACTTGAATGTCTTATGCGGAGAGCATAACGTAATTGGTTATGTTGCCATCTAGTGGGTAATTCAGTTGAACTTAAAAGTATCGAAGTTCTTCATTTCTTGCCATTGAGGAAAAGATCTGACCACCAGTTCCTTCCTGAAAAGAAATAGACGTTGCTGCTCCCGTGACAGAAATCAGTATTTTCAAATGAGGTAAGTCACTATATCGCAGTAAGGAAGACATGACATTTACCATTGTCAATCTATTTAACCGTGGTGGATGTCCTGCTGTCTTAAAACACAAAGAATGAAGAGAAAGGCTCTGCAGCAAAAAGACTTACCAAAAAAAAAAAAAAAAGCTGAAGGAAATTTAGCAAGATGGCTGCCAGAAGCACCAGGAAGCGAAGACAAATTATTCAAACCAACATAAATGCCTGTGTGCCAGTTTATCCTGTTAAGGTCAGGATCTGTATGAGCTTAATCAAAAAACACCAACACTTGAGTTGGTTTCTTGATCTTCAAGCAGACAGCATGAATATGAATGGGACAAAAATGTTTAGACAGGATAATCCCAACCCTTAAGGGTCCTTTAGTTATAGAAGCAAGGAGAACTGTGCCCAACTATGCTAAAAGCAGGATTGAACTGCCATTTAGTAATTTTCTTGCTTATATGATCATTCAGTAGCTAAAGAGGTCTTTAATAAGAGATACTCCTTAGCATCATTACACTGAAAGATCAGGACATTCTAATAGCTTCCAGATCCCTGGAAGGAGGTCTCCCTTTCAACTCTTTCCTTCACACCCTAGCTGAGTCACAGAAGACTTGCATAAAACGAACTATTCAGTAAATCGAGTGAAGAATTATCTTTCTTCTCACCTTGATGCAAAGTTCTGCCTCAACCAAAGTAGCAGATATAAATTAGCCCTAGTACATCTAAAGCAGAATTCAGCTGAGACCAGTAAAATCAAAAGCCTATGTAATCCTCTATTAACTGAACTTAGCAAAAATACAGGACTTTATTTCACAATTTTGTTGGATCAGCACAACCAGAGGCCTCTTTATGCAATCAGGTAATCATATAATATTCTCCCTTAAATAATTCTTCAGTGGGGAGCAACCTCAGATTAGTTTCAGAAATTTTGCCACTACATAATTTTTTCTGCTCTTTCAAGGGAAAAAAAATGAATTGCCATTGGTAGTGAATGACTTGCTGATTGCCTGTAAGAGAGATAATTAGCCTCACATTTTTAGATTAGCATCAGTACAACCCACAAAATAGGTGGAAATTGCTTTTTACAAAAAGGGGTAGAAATAAGGCCAAGAATATATGTTATGCCCATATCTACCACAGGGTAACTCCATAACTGAAGTAGCATTTGAATCTAGTTTTCTAAACCTAACACTAGCTCTTTTCAAGGGTTCTTTTTTTTTTTTACATCATTAGAATCACTTGGAGAAAAATTGTAGGTTCCTACCTGCTTTCTGATCCTCACCAGCCCTATTCTCCTCCAGCAGAAGAGAATATATGAAGCTCAGGGTTGAACTGTGGAGTCTTTGGTGCTCTCTGAGCTTGGTTGTTTGATTGCAGACATTTCATTACCCAACTAGGTAACATCATCAATGCTAGTGAGTGTGGAATTTGCTCCCTGTTTATACACAGTAGCTTGCCCTGCCAGTGTTGGTGGCCACTGATGATGTTACCTAGTTGGGTAATGAAACATCTGCAATCAAACAACCAAGCTCAGAGAGCACCAAGGACTCCACAATTCTCCTCCTTCTCCTCCTGTCAATGCATGAATGGAAAAAAATGCAGAGTGGAATCCTCTCCTCTTCACTGTGAGTTAGTACTCTCCTCTTGCCAATTTCTGCATCATGGGGCAAGTCTCCTTGCACTGGGGAGGCTCCCTTATTCAGACTTTCTTTTTGAATGCACTTATGGCAAGGTAGCACCTAGAAGGCAATTGCAAGGCAGAGATAAACAGCCTTCCTGGCTGGGCTGATACAACATGCGGACTAAACTGTGGTTGGCCAGTTATGTTGGGCAAATTCATTCAATTGGGGTAATTGGATAAACCATTAACCATTTCATGCAGAGGCAGTCAGAGTCTTCCTCTGTGTAATTACAGCTGCAAGGAGGCTAAGAAGTAGCCATGTCCATGGATCATTATTATCTCATGGCATCAAAAGGCAGGACAAGTAATTATCCTGTAAAAGTTATTCATCCCTCTCCAGCCTATCAAGAACATTCATTATTGTTTTAAATCCATAAAGATCTCTATTCCAAGGCATGGTTAAACTTTCTTCTATTTATATTTCCGCAAAAGAGGTTTCTTTGAGAATTAAATTTAGGGTCATTTAATCCAAGTTGCATATGTTTCCTACACCAGTGGCAGGGTTATATATACAGTCCTATGCATACCATCCAGTAGCTGGCTTATCATAAATAAAATAAATTACTCCTGTAACCAAGTTAGACATATATGCATGCCCCCACACATACATGTATGCACATACTTATGGCAGGGAAATAAAACTGTCTCCTGGAATACAATGATCATCCCTATCATATTCAAACCTTAAACTGATATAAGTCCATTTTATTTCATTCTTTAAAGTAGGATATGGTCAGCAGTGAGTTGGAATCCATGTCATAACCCTTCATTCATCAATAAATGTTTCAAAACTGTACACCATGTTCACAATCCAGCTAGGCCCGTATAAGCTTACAGAATTCACCAGCTATAGGTTAAGAAGATCCAGGAATCCCCAGCTAGTTGGGTGAATAGGCTGGAACCTTCTGGGCATTTGGGTCACTTCAGAACAAAACACTAGGCTCTAGCTGCCCACTATTTCATTTCCTGAGTGTGCCAGTAAGGTTTATGGGAGGCCATTAGCATTGTTGGAAACACAGATGACATGTAAGTCTAATGCTTTGACTTGTAGCATGCTACCATCCCTTTCTTTCTTATAAAATAATTAGGCAAATAAAATCAGATATTACAGGATGCTAAGAAAGAGCTCTGTTGGTATTGTGAGGGGGGAAAGAGCAATAAATAAAATTGCTATGTGGACTAAAGTTTTCAGTCATGGACAGGAAGTCGGAAAATAAATGGACAAAGTAAAATGCTGATAAAAGGAGTGTGACACAAGGATGGAACAGGGAAGTGCAGTGAAATTAGCACCAAGGACGGTAGCTCATCCTGGGAGTCATGATTGCGGTGTGTGGTTTTGAAGAATAAAAAGGATTGTTGGGAGGGGCTCAGGGCCACACAGCCATAAGCTGTCCAGGTTGA